TCTTCTTCGGGTTTATTTCTTTCAAAACTCTCGACTTCCGAGAAGGCCATATCTCTATATTCTGCTTCTCTCCCCTCCGATCGTTTTAAAACCGGGGTTTTGTTTAACAATCCTGCAGTTGCTGGAAGGAAGGATTTATTAGGGAAGCCGAAATGTGTGGAGTCAGCAGGAGTCTTGGTAGTGCAAAAACTTCCTTTCCAGAGGGACCTGTCAAAGGCACGAAACAGTTGCCCAGGAAAACGGCTGACCCTTCCTGGAGTTGTAAATTAACTTTAATTTTAATTAATGTATTTGATTTATCAATCGCTTACAAGATAACAGGTATAACTCTAAACATAGTTATGGATACATGAAATGGATACATATAAGAAAAATAAAAGAAATAAAAAGAAAAAAGAAACAATAGGACAGGGACGGTAGGCACGATTGGTGCGCCTATGCACACCCCCTACAGATCTTTTAGGAAGGGGGTGAGGTCAATAGTAGACAGTCTAAGGTTAAAATTTTTGGGGTTTGGGGAAGAAACCACAGAGTCAGGTAGAGTATTCCAGACATTGACCACTCTGTTGCTGAAGACGTATTTCCTGCAATCAAGTTTGGTGCGGTTTACCTTGAGTTTGTATCTATTGTGTGCTCTTGTGTTGTTATGGTTCAAGCTGAAGTATTCATTGACAGGTAGGACATTGCTATGTATAATTTTATATACTATACTTAGATCGGACTGAAGGTGGCGTAGTTCTAGGTTTTCTAGGTCTAGAATTTCAAGTCTGGTGGCATAAGATATTCTGCAACGAGTAGAGGAGTGGAAAACTTTTCTTGTGAAATATTTCTGGACTTTCTCAACTGTGTTAATATCAGATACATAATACCAGACTGATGAGCTGTATTCGAGTATTGGCCTAACAAATGTTTTGTATGCCGTAGTTAGTGGAGCGATATTACCAGTAAATGGAGGAGCTTGGGGTCAAAGGTGTGTTAGCTAGACAGTTCAACCTCTCTCCAGCCTCCCAGGATTCTGGGAGTTGAAGTCCACACATCTTTGAGTGGCCAAGTTTGGACAACACTGGTCTAAACCAAAATGGTCAGCAGTTCTTAGTCGTGTGGCATGTTGCTGTCTCCAGGATCTAAAAGGAGAATCTTGTCACCATCCTAATACCCCTTGCTGGAGACCGTGTTCGTGCTTTCTCCTCTGCCTTGAAAACATCACAACGTGGTTTGGCTGCCCCGTCGAGGGATTTGAGATCCCAGTTCTCTTTCCAAGCAATGTTTGTTTCCGGCCGGTTGACTTTATGGCAAGCTTTCTGCATTGCATCTTGGAATGGGGCCAAAGCAACCCAGAAACGGTCCTTCTAAAGACAAGACGTGGCCAATGCACAGTTGGGCCCAGAGCATCCATTTCGAAAGTGTCACATTGGACATTGCTCTGAGGCTCTGCATGTCACTGTCTCAAATAGAATAGAGAGTTGGACGGCCAAAGAAGCAAATCCCAGGGAGCCATGTCTTCCTTATCCACTTTTTTCATTAGCATGTTAAAAGAGTTTATTGTAACAAAAAAGAAGAGCCAACATAGCTTTGGAAACTCCTTTCCTTCCTTCCTTCCTTCCTTCCTTCCTTCCTTCCTTCCTTCCTTCCTCCCTCCCTCCCTCCCTCCCTCCCTCCTTCCCTCCCTCCCTCTCCTTTTCCTCTCTCCCTCCCTCCTTCAACTCTTTCCTCCCTCTTTCCTTCTTTCCTCCCTCCCTCCTTCAGCTTTCCTCCCTCCCTCCCTCTTCTTTCTTCCCTCCTTCCCTCTTTTTTTCTTTCCTTTTTTTCTTTCTTTTTTCCTCCCTCCCTCCTTAACTCTCTGTGGAACCCAAAAAAAGTATTTTAACAAATAATTGATCTGCCAGGATCCAGGACAGAAGTTACAGCAAAACATGGGTGTGCACAATCTTTTGGAGCAGAATGCTACCCAGCCAACTGGGCCCCCTTTTTAGAATACAGATAGTCCTCATTGAACCATCGGAAATCCCTATGAAAAATGCAAACCTGAGCTGTTATCTTTCACTTGCCGGATTTTCTCCCTCCTCCAGTTGACCGTTGAACATGTGACTTCCAGTTGGTCAACATTGGCTCCCAAGCGAGTGGTCCTGCTAACCTTTAAGTAGACTTTTCTGCTTTATTTTTAAGGCAGCCCTTCTCTGAACCTGATAAGGTTGTTTGGCTTGGTTTAGCTTGGGTTTTCTCCCAGGGGTCCTTCAAAAGTCATTGGCAAGATTTTTTTCGTTCCTAATCGGGCCACAATAAGGTTATTTTTGAGATTGTTTCTATAGTATTGGGAAGAAATGCCTCTGAATTGCTTGTTTGTGTATAATTTTATTAAAAACGCTTTTAAAAAGAACATCAAAATGAATGCAAAGCAATTCAAAAAAATCAAAGAGAAAGGTAAAAGTTCAAGAAAGGGGAGAAAATAAAAAAGAAATAGAAAAGAAATTAAAAAATTAGAAGCAGCTTCTGATCTTCTTTACAGCAGTTAAAAATACAATTATAAATGTACCTGTGATTACAACATAACTGTCCTCTTTTTATAATCTATCCTCTCTATTCATCACAACCATAAATCATAATTTCATTTTTGTTTCCTGCAAAAAATCTACAAGGGGGGTTTCCAGTCGCTAATAAACTTTGATAATTGTCTTTTCTCTGATCAAAGAAATAAAATCTAACCATCTTAGGAAGTTCCATCATTTTCACCCATCATTCCTCTTGCTGTGCACAATGCCAAATCTTTCCATTTTGTACAATAATCTCACTGCAGTTGCCATCTATAAAAAACAAAACTCAGTGACTTTTCCCCCCCAACCGTTTGCCCATCAATCCCAAAAGAAAAAAATAAAATATCTGGTTTCAATTGTATATTAATCTTTAAAGTCCTCTGAATCAGTACCTCCAAATTGCTTTTTAACAAGAACCAATTGTCATTTTAAAATGCTGCTGTTTCTAATGCCTTTTCAGAAGCACCTTGAGACTCGCTGCTCTGGAAGAAGAAAAACCACATGATTTTATAAGTTTATAAAATGATATTCATAAAATATAACATGACTGATTTCCATTGCAGACTGACGGTGCAGTTATAAGGATTTGCAAGCTGCCTGTGCATTGAGACACCACCTGACAGACAAAAACTGCCTAATTTGAGAAGAATCTCTGGGATCTGGGCAAATCAAAATTGTGCAGGAAAGATCACACCAGCATTTATTCTGATAGGTCACATCATGAAAAGTATAGAGCACTAAATTTCATTTATGAATCTGTCTCCATCATGTTTTTGTTAAGCATGGCATATATGATGTCAGACAATCAGGACCACGTGTTAAGATGATTTATTGCTCCTGCCTCTGCACAAGAATCTAGTCAACCAATGGTCAGTTCTAAATTGGCACTAGAAAAGGGTCAATGGAATTCAAGAGGGGGTTGGACCTAAACCATTTGTGGAAACGTAAGGATTCCAGGCTGATTCCTCTCTTGATTCTGCCCCCACTCTCTGCCCGTCCTTCTCTATATCAAACTAGGGATGCTGGGTTCATACATCACACTAAAACACAAACCAGTTGTTACAAGTAGGCCTTGACAGTTCATTTAGTGACCGCTTAAAGTTATAACAACACTGAAAAACTTATTACCGCTTTGCCCACTTACGGCCATTGCCACCTCCCCATAATCATGTGATAAAAATTCAGGCTCTTGGCAACCGGCTCGGTTTGATGATGGTCCCGGGGTCATGTGATCCCCTTTTGCGACCTTCTGAGGAGCAAAGTCAATGGGAAAACCAGATTCACTTAACAACTGCATTACTAGCACAACAACTGTGGCGATTCACTTAACAACCGGGGCAAGAAAGGTCGCAAAGTGAAGCAAAACTCACTTAACAAATGTTTTGTTTAATGGCAGAAATTTGGGGCTCACTTAAAGTCGTAAGTTGTGGAGGACTACCTATACCTGTGATGGTGAACCTATGGCACATGTGCCACACGTGGCACGCAGAGCCATTTGTGCCGGCACGCAAGCTGCAAGCAAACTTACCTCACTGCGCAAGTACGCGCCTCACAGCTGATTTTCGGCTGGTTTGAGGCCTTTTTTGGCCTCCCAAAGTCTTGAGGAAGGCTTCTGCAGGCTTCTACAGGCTTTGCAGGCCGAAAACTAGCCCCGTTTCGTCACGTCCTGTTTTCCGAAAATACCAGAAGTGATAAAATGGGGCTAGTTTTCGGCCTGCAGAAGCCTTCCTCAAACCTTTGGGAGGCTGAAAAAGGCCTCAAACTGGCCGAAAATCAGCTGTGAGGTGCAGTGCAGGTAAGGGGGTGGCAGGGGTGGGTAGGGATTACGCGCACATGCATAGGGGGCATGGGGGGCATGCACTGCCTTCTGGGTGCTGGCACGCAAGTGCGAGCTTGCAAGCGCCCACGCAATTTTTGGCACAAGAGCCCAAAAAGGTTAGCCACCACTGACCTATACTGTCTGATGTGCTCCGTGTTAAAAGAGTCATCCAGTCTGTTGTGTTTGATACAGTCTGTCAGGATTCCAGCAATCGCCCTAATTAAATCAAGATTCTCGAGACAAACTTCAACCGACTTCAAAGGATTCATTAGAGGCGACATACTGGCATTGCCCTATATGAAGCCAACTCTGGCATACGTAATTCACAGTCCCCTGTGACCCTGTCCCCCCCCCCCCCCGCTGGGTGTGTCATAAATCAGATTCTCCAACTGAGTACATTCACAGGCTGGGTTTCTTCCTTCACGTTCTCCAATTAAACATATTCGTGGGCAAAAGTTCTGGTAGCTTAGTTACAATCTTTTAAAGATGAAGAGTTTGAATGTACTTCCGCTTTCCTGCACTGCTCTTCCAGATTTCCTTCCTCACCGCCGCTTTTTTTTTAATGGCAACTACTAAAACAGGCATAGGAATGTTTTATGAGTTAACACAGTCTTTTCATCAATATCTGTTTCTCTTTTTGCCTTCCATAGGCCAATGAGGTGACCGACAGTGCGTATATGGGCTCAGAGAGCACCTACAGCGAGTGCGAGACCTTCACGGATGAGGACACCAGCACGCTGGTCCATCATGAGATGCACGACGAAGTCGAGACAGACAGTGCTGTCGATTCCACGGTGCATTCGGAAATCATGGAGCCGGAGGAAACGGAGAATGGGTATTTATTGACTTGTTATTTGAAAGATTTATATGGTCACCCATCTTTCAGCCAATTCTGGGCAGCTCCCAAAGATTAAAAAACAAAACAAAACCCAACCATATTTTTATATGGAGAAATTTCCCGAGAGTGAGAACAATTAGTCAGTGGTAGGGCTTCCCTCTAGAAGTTGTGGGTGCTGCATCACTGGTGTTTTCACTGGACAGAATAATATTAGATCTCCTGCTTGAACAAGGGGTTAGACTAGGAGACCCCTGTGATGACCCAAAGGGGCGTGGCACAAAGGCAACACAGTCACATAAGCAAGAAAAGTCCCTTTAGTGCCTCCAACTTTGCCCCCAGTGTCCAGGTTACCTTCGGCTGGAGAAAAATCTCTCCCAAGAGTTGAGAAAGAGAGAGTCTTTAAGTGGAGGAAATTCAGTCCGAAAACAAAGTGCATACAAACTGTAAATAAAAATCCACACAAACCACGCTGCAGCAATTAACTTGACAGGGCAGGATAAGGAATTGCAGACTTCAAAGGCCAACAAAACACACACAGTTGGTGAAACAGCTAAGCCTCGACAAACAAAAATAACTCACGGTTTGCTTCTAGCAACTTTGCTGTGCGTAGCTTGCCTTTTTAAACACTGTTTTCCCAGCTGCAGCTAATGAAGGGAATCAGGGCCCTTTCCTCCCCCGTAAGCCCTGCAATTCACATTGCTCTCTTCTCTGTTCCTCCCTGCGTGCCGTAGGATGAAGAGCGGGTGGGCCTGGGTCTTCCACTGAACTCCCTCTCCCTTGTTCTACCTCTCCCCTGCTCTGCCCAGCTGGACTTTGCCCTTCCTCAGTTTCCTCCACACTCCCATTCCCTGTCAGCTGTTCGTCTTCCTCCTCAGATTCAGTCTCTGACAGGGGCAGGACACATCCCCAAGGTTCCTTCCAACTCTATTTTTCTGTATTCTGTATTTTGAAACTATACAACTCAAGTGATTAAAATGTTGCGAGCTACAAAGTGTAGGTGGGGAGGAGTTATTTCTTTTCTTCTCCTTCCCATCCAGCAATTGACTTGAGGGGTGGGGGGGACTTTAATCCAAAGCCATAATCTCGCATTTATGGCCTTTGCTGTGTTCCAGGGTCATACCAGCCTGTGGCATGTGGCAAAATTGGATCGGTCACACGGGTGATCTAATTTGCGACCTATGATGTTCAGGCTCCGTTATGGTCGTAACTCAAGGGCTATGCTTTCAGATTTGCAAGAGTCTGTCAACGTAGCTTTACAATTAAGTAAAACTAACTCGATCTGGGTTGTTATTCTTGATCTGGTTTTACCCTGCCAGGCCAAAAACTCCTTCAAACACCGTTGACCATTACAGCACGTTGATTTCTCTGAGGAGAATCATCAGAAAGCGCCATGTTTTGATTTTATATTTTACCAATTTTATATTTACAAACATGAAAAGATTCACGGGTTTTCCTTCTCCCCTCACAACCAACCTGTGGAGGTAGTTCTCCAGGAACCTCCATGGTTGAAGGTCCTTCTCCCTGCTGGTTACCCAACCTTCCACCACCCTACCCCCCCATTGCCTGGCCTGCAGGACATTCCTTATTGGTTGCCCGGCGGGCTTAAGTTGCTGCTGATTCCTTTACTTGCCTTACTGAGCCCATAATCGGCTTTAATGCAGGGAGGTATTTTCCTTGTCCAGAGGCTGCCAGCTTAAAGTCTGTGGCAGACCTCCTCTTGGCAAGATACGGCCTTGGGCTCCCCAGCCTGGAGGTACGGATGCTTTTCTGGGGAGGTAGGTATGGGCAGCTGGGTTTAAAGCTAAGATGAGGAGGGGGTGTCAACAGCTTCAAGCTGCTTTTGGCCTTGGGGGCCTCCAGTCCTTTGCAAGATTCACCCGTGACGAGCATCGTTGATTTTCCAACACAAGGAAGAAACAAATCGGGCAGATTAGATAAAAGACCATTCATTTATTGCTAACTGGAAACCCTTGATGGACTTTTTTTTTTTTTTTTTTGCATAAAACAGAAAATTGCCGGGAGTTGGGACTTATAATCTATGGTTTTGACCTTTTAGATAAGGTGGGGGATAAAAAGAAGGGAGTCAAGGGGTGGCTTTAGAGAAAGGGGTAAATCTACAATGGCACTTATAGCTGTTTTTTTTAAAAAAAAAAAATTCGGAAGCCTGTTCTTTAGACCTTTTTTCTTTATTTCTCTGTCACTTTTTTTAATTTTTGCACTTTATTTTTTTCTCTTTTATGCTTGCCCTTTTCTTTTTCTTTTTTCTTTCCTACTCTAGTTTTGTTTGTTTTGTATGTGTTTTTGCTGTTGCTTTTAAAACTTGAAAACTTTCAGGTACGTCAGCCGAGAGGTGCGACTTCAATCGGAATGAAAGGGGAGAGAGAAGCAAAGAGCTGGTGGGAAGGTATCTCAAGGTGGCAGAGGTGGAGTCTGTTTATTTTGTGTGCCCTGTCTCCCTCCAAATGAAGGGGGACTAGGAGGTTGTGGAGTGTCAGGAACCACCACGGTGGGATTTGTGGTCCTCAGGATGCTAAACTGGGTTGTTGGGATTGGTGGGGAATGCCCTACAGCAGGGGTGTCCAACCTTGGCAACTTTAAGACTTGTGGACTTCAACTCCCAGAATTCCTCAGCCAGCTTTGTGGACTTCAACTCCCAGAATTCCTCAGCCAGCTGGCTGAGGAATTCTGGGAGTTGAAGTCCACAAGTCTTAAAGCTTTGCTGGCTGAGGAAGTCCACAAGTCTTAAAGCTTGGCTGGCTGAGGAATTCTGGGAGTTGAAGTCCACAAGTCTTAAAGTTGCCAAGGTTGGACACCCCTGCCCTACAGAGAGCAGCCTCTGCATTAGGCGTTCTGGGTAGTGTAGTTTGCTGGAACCTCAGAGCCCGAATGATGCTTCTGATCCTTAGGAGAACTGTAAAAGCTTCCTGGGAATATTTACTTTTTACGGATTTCTTGATTTTGTTTGGCTTCCTGCTTTGGTTGTTTTTATAAACAAATCAAGGGGGTGAACATACCTAATGTTCTTTCCTCCTCCCGTTTTCCCTACAACACCAGCCCTGTCAGGTGGGCTGAAAAAGAGCGACTGGCCTAAAGTCACCCAGCTGGTTTTCATGCCTAAGGCGGGACTAGAACTCACAGTCTCCTGGTGATTGGCCCAAAGTCACCCAGTTT